GTGGGGGCGGCGGACGGGGGTGCGATGACCACCAGCCTCGGCGTCCCGGCAGGTGTGCGATGACCCGGAGGAACTACGGAGGAAAGTCCGGGAGCTGGCCGGCGCCGTCCGGAACGCCAAATACTTGGTCGTCTACACAGGCGCGGGGATCAGTACGGTAGGGAGGGAGGCGTGGACGGCCTTGCCCCCGGGGTCGGCTCCAAGCCCACCCGCACCTCCTCAAGAGTTGGGGAAACCCGGGCCGCCGGGACTGCTGGCCCAGGGGCGGGCGTGGGGCGCCCCCTTCTGGAAGACTGAGCCTAGAGTGGAGGACGTGCTCCAAGTTGAGTAACTACTTAATTGCAAAAAGCTCGCCTTGAAAGGAGCTCAGAGATTTTTGCCTGTCTTAGAGACACACGAAACGACTCATTGTAAAATTTAGTTAAGATTAACACTTTAGCCGGACACGATGGCTCACACCAGTAATCCCAGGATTTTGAGAGACAGAGGCGAGAGGATTTCCTGAGCTCGGGGGTTCAAGACAAACCTGAGAGACTTGGTGAGATCTTGTCTCCACAATAAATCAAAAAAATTATCCGGGTGTGGTGGTGCGCGCCTGTGGTTCCAGCTACTTGGAAGACTGAGAGCAAAGGCTCGCCTGAGCCCAGCAGGTCAAGGCTGCAATGGCCATGAGTGTGCCACTGCACTCCAGCCTGGGCGACAGAATGAAACTCCTACGCCCCCCCCCCCGCAAAATAATCTCTATGTTATAGCCAACTAAAGACAAAAAAGGTGTAGAGATACATATGGGGTATTGCAGCTGACTGCTTGCAGGGACCCCCAGGTTGTGTGGGCAGAGCTAAGCCCAAAACTATCACCTGATACCTCATCCATTGTGTTCTCTCCACGTGGAAGGATGATAAATAGAATGTGAGACAGTAAGAGTCGGAATAGCTCGGTGGCTCAGCCTGTAATCCCGCACCTTTGGGAGGCTGAGGTGAGTGGATTGCCTGAGCCCGTGGGTTCGAGACCCGCCCGGGCAACTTGGTGAGACCTCATCTCTACAATAAGTCAAAAATTAGCCGGGCATGGTAGCACGCGCCTGTAGTTCCAGCTACTTGGAAGGCTGAGGCGGAAGGCTTGCCGGAGCCCAGCAGGTCGAGGCTGCGGTGACCGGGAGCGGCCACTGCACTCTAGTCTGGGCGACAGAGTGAGACTCCAACC